ATTTATGTGTAAAGGTGTAAACACTGTACCCAAGACATAATAAACTAAACTGAAAGAAGGAAGACAAAGGAGAGGGAGAGGCAAGTGCATCTGTATTCAGGAGGTAATTAAAATTCAAAGAATCAAAGGGAGGCTGGTGGGAAATATGAGGATCAGGCAGGAATTCCTGCCCAGTATGGCTTGTGAGCCTTCTAGAGTGAAAGGCCGGAAATGCAAACTCAAAGATGAGGACATGACATTCAAAAGACATGCCTCTAACCACGTGTTTAAAAATATTGACTTTAATAACAAGAGGAACTTGTATTTAGAAATTACAATATGGTTTTAATCCCTTCCAACAGCCCATGGATAATGACAGTTAATATTTTAGCATTCATGCTTGTAATGTACATAGAAAAAAATAATAGTTACACTATTTAAAGTTGCACATCTCCCTGAAAGCTCATTCAAAGATGCTGTTTAAAACATCAACAATGGCTGTAAAACATTTTTGCGCATTAAAACTACTTAACTGTCAATTGGGTAATTTAGGTTGCTTCCAACTTTTAAGTTTTAAAAATAATGCTGCAATTTACATATTCTTACATATTAATCTTAGTGCACAGCTCTGACTATTTGCTTAGGATAGTTTAATTTTAAAGTAAAATCACTAAAAGAACATGAAATCATCAATATATCCTGCTAGGCTGGCTAATACCTTTGCCAAAAATGTTTATTTAACCCGCAGTTTTTTAAAACTCGGCATTCTTTAGATTAGACAAAATCATGTATCCTAGGCTTATTTTTTTTTATTTTTATAAAAACTTGCTCCATGTTACTTCCTTATATGAGATCACTCATCTATTTTTCACTCTACAGCAGATGCAAGTTTGTTTTCTTTGGTAAAAATTTTCCCTTTACAGATGAGCACATGTGTAGTGGCTGGAAACCATGAATGTGGAGAACATGGCAGTCTTTGTAGCAACTTCTTTGTATGGAGTGAGGGTTACTTATGGTTTTAAAAAAGTGCTTCTAAAGTCCTTACATGCTTTCATATCAGGAAAGCTTTGTGAAAACTATCAACACAAAAAACACAAAAAAAGCCTATTGCTTAGAGGCACTTACATTTCCTAAACTGAGGCGCTCACTCACAGCTTTTCTATAAAACAATGAAAGACTGTCACTACAGCATATGCAGTATTTTATTTATGTTGACCTTTTCTCCTAGCCCGTGAAGGTCTTCTAAAACCTACCTAATGTCTAGTAGTCTGCCCAATACCCTAAGTATTTAGCATACTGGTCAATATCACAGTTCATGAAATTCTAGTATTTCAATTTTCTAGAAGAGGAAACAATGGCTGGGTGAGTTCTTTCTCTCAAGTCAGTACAGGCTTTCCTGATAAAGACTCCAGTGACCAACCAGACTCTCCTCACTCTACAATTAGTGACGCCCATTGGCACTAAGCATTTTAGGAATATTTGTGTATGAAGGAATGAAAAAGGTAAAAGATAAAAGTCTGAACTTTCACGTAAGTCAGAACTTAAAAATTCAAATATGTTTTATTTATTATCAGTATTTCCTGACAACTACACAATATTTCAATGATGGTACAAATGGTTACAGAATTTTTATAATTTCTGTTTGAAAGGGTCCAAACTTAACAAAGTCATAATCTTCAAAGTTCAGTCAATTTCAAAATAATCTATTTTATACCCAACTTATGTTACATGGTCTTTCCATTTATTAATTCTCTGGGACTACATGACCTTTATTTAGCCATTTCAAAAAATTATATCCAGTTTCAAAGCATTAAGATTTGCCATCACTTAACACATTCAAAGAGAATGTAAAATTCCAAGAGGTGAACCTAAGATGTCTCAACAACAAAGGCAATGTCAGAGTAAGTTCACCACCTTCAAGATGTCTAGTTATACTCTCTCCAGGTAAGATTTAAGTTGCTTTATTACTATTATGAAAGAAAACAACAAACTTATTTAAAGATGCAGTGATTTAAAAAGGACAATTAAGTTACAGCTCATTGCAGGGCACCCCAAAGATGAGCATGTCAAATTACACTGAACAAATATCTAAATATGCATAGAAAATGTTTTTAACGTATATACACCAGAATGCTAATAATGATACCTCACTGAGGAGTATATTAGGAGATATTTCAATTTTTCTAAGTAAAAGGTACACATTTTAATATTAAGAGTTCAAAATCTGACTCAGAATGAAGGGTATGCCTGTCAGAGGCAGTGTTTACAAAGAACACTGAAGTTAGGTTTATCCTATTTCTTTTCCCCTCTGTATAAATTTATAAGTAGCTGTACAACCCAAAAAGGAAGCCTTGACTAGTCTAAGTGAGCCATTACTCTCAAAATGTTTAAAGCACTTTCCAACAGTAATTACATTGTTGATGACCTGAAAATGGGTCACCCCACACAAATGATTAAAACTCTCTTATGCAATGTTCCTTTGGAGGAAACAAGGACAGCTTGTACAAATATTTCAGCTAGATCTACTTCCCCTAAAGAAGATGGTACACATTGGTAGGTATTAACCAAGCATAGAGAAAGGCAAAAGAAAAATTATGAAGAACTTAAATTAGCTTAGTCATCTGTACCAGTCAATTTCATATTACATTGTTAATTTAAGAAAGTTAGTTTCTCAAGTCATTAGTTCATAGACATAAGTTTAGATATATTTACTTTAAAAGTTATTAAGTAAATCATATTGTCTAGGAAACTATGTTAACACAAGGTTTGAGAAATAACTATATCTCTACAGGGCATGCAACTGCATTTTTATAGGTTGACAGTTTCAACAAGTTACATTTTTCCTTTTTGATTAGGAATCTGGGTAACAAAACTAGATTTAGCATATCAATTTTCAGCCTTTAAATGAACAGCCATTTATGAAATATATTTCAATGAATTTATATGGCTAGAACATTCTGCTTATCAAGGCTTAAAGATCATAACATGCCATTCAACTGCATCAAGTTTAAATGTGTTTATAGGAAGACTACTTAAGACAGAAACGGGGGACAGGGAATCATAACGTGATATAAAAGCCCTTCTGAGCCCTACATTCTTCCAGCCAGGAATGGAATTGGGAAAGGACTCTACCTTAAACAGGTATCAAGGCAGATATACTAGATGTCTCAAAGAATCAACACCTCACAGAACCCTTCTTAGTTCATCATCTGAAACTCAAAGATCCTTGTAGCAATGGGAAACTTCCAATTCAATTATCCACAAAGTACTTTCTCAATCACTGAGCTTAGAAAACTTACCTAGGAGAACTTAATTGGAGAATACCAGTTAATTCTTTAAGTCTCCGTTAAGGCTTCTCAGCCTAAGGAGGAATTATAAACTAGTATTTTTATAGCATAAAACTCTAAAACTTGTAAGGAAGCCAGAAGTTGAGGGTGCTGTAATTGATTGGAAATTAGTTCCTGGCTATTGTAACCTTTCTGTATTATTTATCTAAGAAATGGTGGCGGTGTGTGTGTGTGTCTCTGAAATCATAACATAAATTCAGAATGTGTGTGTGTGTGTGTTTGTGTGTCTGAAATCATAACAAATTCAGAATGTCTTGGTCCACCTCCTTAAAAAACCCTTTTGGTTCAAGGTGAGCGGAATGGTGAGAGATTTGGCATTAGTTTCAAAGAGAAGCCCACAGCAATAGCAAGATGTTTCAGTTCTAGCAATTCTGATGGCCAGTGTGGCCATCAGAATGTTCAACATGTTCTAATTTTATATTGTTCTTTCTTAAAATTGGTCAATGTTTCACAATACTTTTAAATTACCTAAGACCAAAATGTTTAAAAGCTGGATTAAATTAGCTAAATTACTACCATCCCATAATTTTACAGATTATAGAAAGTAAGAGTTATTACCAAAATCGTTAAATGTGTTAACCTTCAATTCCTAAATTGTCAGTAAGTACCTTAATGGAATGATACGTGAATAATATACCCAATTAAAGCAGAAGGAAGATAGTGTGGAAAATAACTCTGTATACAACCCGACCAAGGTTTCTATTCAACTTTCTATTCAACTGTTTAAAGGACTAAAACAATGGGGAGTAGGAGAATGGAAAAGGGCCATTTCATTGCTGGGAATCCAGAGTAGGTAGGGCAGAGAGGATTTTCAGATGACAAATGGAATGGATACTCTATTCTACTAGAATAGAATAGAATTCCAACTATCTGGCATTTAAAAGAAGTTGTTCATTTTACTGCTAATAGCTTTAATGAACAGTGGTCTTAAAATTGTTTTAGTCCAGGGGCCCTCCCTGGTGGCACAGCGGGTTAAAGCACAGCACTGAGAAACCAAAGCCACTTCCGCATGAGTTCAATTCCCGCCTGCCCCAGAGGTGACCACATGGCGTGGCAGACCTCTCCTGACCCGCCCGCTGCTCCCCTCAGCAGTGTACTTCGTCGATCTGCCTGTTCTGCTCCCGGCTCTGTGTCTGGTGAAGCCTCTCACCACCCCTGAGCCTGTACCCCAGTTCTGTATGCGCAAATAAATAAATCTTAAAAAAAAAAAAAAAAAAAAAAAAGCTAAAACCACTGCAGCAGGAGTTCAATTCCCACCTGCCCGGGAGGTGACCACATGGCGTGGCAGACCTCTCCTGGCCCGCCCGCTGCTCCCCTCAGCAGTGTACTTCGTTGATCTGCCTATTCTTCTTCCCATTCTGTCTCTGGTGAATCCTCTCACCACCCTGCACCTCTGGCCTGTACCCCAGTTCTGTATGTATAAATAAATAAATCTCTAAAAAAAAATTGTTTTAGTCTGACCCTGAACAACAAAAATATAGAATTATAGCTATCACAGTCATCACACAAAGGGTATAACTGAACTATGAAAGTCTCCCAAAAGTCACAAGTGAACCAAAGCCAAAAAGGGGAAAAAATCAGTTAAATAAAGATTTCTAGAATTATTTCCCACAAAATGTTGAATTTCTCCCCCCCTTGATTTCAGAACTCAAGGAAAGAAATTGGGTAACATACCTATAGATGGAGATTTGAAAGGGTATTTGTCAGGAAGATCCACTCTAACTTTCCATACTCCCCCTTCATATGGTGCTATAAAAGAAAAGTAAAAATGTTCAACATTATAACTGTTTCCATATTAGAGAGTAAATGTGACTATAAATTACACATTAGATCGTAATTTCTTTTGAAATTAATTTCAAGACTTTGTTACCTGGAAGCACTAATGACTGGCATTCCCAAGGTATGCCTTTGAAGTGTTATCAAAATTTAAAATGAAACTGATAGAAATATAAATTTCAAGTCATGGATCTGTTGTAGCTAATACGTACTCCATGTTCCAATTAAAATACTTTAAAAGATCAAGAGATATAAAGTAAGTAAACATTAACTATCTCCCCTAAACTTACCTTATTCTTTTAAGTATTAAGCACTATTTGATTATTTGGTAAGTGATAGCTTTCTATCTCAATTACTTCCCCCTAATACAAGAAAAATACAACAAAATTTCCCCAAAACTATCCAGGTGTCACCCATCACAAAACCCAGGATTCACAATTCATGTTTACTACTGTCACACAGAAATAAAAGGAAAAACCAATAATTAATAACAGTAAGAGCATGAGGTCATTCTTGCTTCTAGAATTCAATTATATCTTCAAAAATTACACCTATTCAAAAATTACTCCCTGGTGGAGTAATGGGTTACAGTACAGCACTATGATGCTAGAAGCAGCCACTTCATGAGTTTGATCCCTGGCCATGGAGGTGACCCACATGGCCCGGCAGACCTCTCCTGCCCCGCCCACTGCTCCCCTAAGCAGTGTACATCATCCATCTGCCTGTTCTGCTCCCAACTCTGTTTCTGGTGAATCCTCTCACTGTCCCTGCACCTCTGGCCTATACTCCTGTTCTATATGCATAAATAATTTTTTTTTTAAATTACACCTATCACCCTCTGTGACACTCCCATTGTGTATTAAAACAGAGTAAAATAGAATTAGAGCACACACAAACACATGTACTTACTTCCTTGTGGTCCATAAAACTTCACTACAAATTCATTGAGTCCTCCCAGGATTGTAACTTCATGCTTACTCTCAATGCTAAGGTGGAAGGTAAAGGAAATTACACAGACTTTATGTCACCTGGAAGCACTAATGATGACTGATATTCCCAGGGAATGCCATTTAAAGTGTTACCAAAATTTTAAATCCCCACTCCAAAATACACAAGTCCTAAAGCCAATCCCAACAGAGAAATGAATAAGAACACAATAAGACAAAGAATAAAATCACAAAAAGACAAACAAAATGGCAAATACAGACACCAACGTGTCAATATTGACTCTAAATGTAAATGGACTAAACTCATCAATAAAAAGACACAGAGTCGTAGGCTGTATTAACTACAAAGATAAACAACAGAAAGGGAAAGTAAAAGGTTGAAAAACAATCCTATGAGCAAATGGACCAAAAAAGAAGGTAGGAACAACTATATTTTTTATCAGCTGAAATAGACATCAAACTAAAATGGTAAAGAGAAACATAGCTGGACACTACATTATGATTAAGGGGACAACATATTAGTAACACATAATGCTCATCAACTATACTCACCAAATGAGGGAGCAAAAGAACTAAGACCATTATTATCAGCTATGAAAACAGACATTAGAGAAAATACATGTATAGTAGCAGACTTAACACCCCACAATAAAACTACCTGCAGCCACTGCAGCTCAAGTTCCATGCCCACCCAGGGAGGTGACCTGCATGGCACAGCAGACCTCTCCTGACCTGCCCACTCTCCCTTCAGCAGTATTATTTCAATAGATCCACTTCTTCTGCTCCCTACTCTGTCTTCGGTGAACCCTATCACCCTCTTCCCTACCGCCCTGCCCCTGGTCTACAGCCCAGTTCTTCTACTCAAAAATAAATAAAATCTTTCTTTAAAAAATGCTGGGTAAAGAGGAGTATTCAATGGACTAGAAATTAGTACTAAGAATAAATTTAATTCTGCATTTCAAAACTTGAAAAATCTTTTCCAAACTTCACCTTTGTTATTACTTTAACAAATAACCAGGCATACTAGTGGCAGTTTTTACGGATTGGAAACTGTTAGTGCCCCACACCCATTGGCAATGATTGCTGTAAATTACGGGGAGTTCAAAATTAACATAATGGTGGGACTGATATCACTGAAAGAGCTCACCAAAACACACATTTAAAAATGTTCATAGCACTATTATTGGTAATAGCCAAAACCACATTTCAACCCAAAGGTTCATAACAATGAAAAGTAGTGGTAGTCATCTAACAACATTATACAGAAAAAAAAAAGAACCACTACACATAAATACATGAATTTTAACGTTAGAGTGAAAGGAACCAGATAAAATGAACACAAGATGATTCCATTTACACATATTTCAGATAGACTAAATAAATGGAGTTCTAAATTAGGATAAGGTAGTACTATGATAAATGGAAAGAGCTCATGGAGGGGGGAGGACTTTTAGGGTGCTGATTATACCTTGACTTACTGTTTCATTTATCACTGGGTTACAAAAGTGATCTGTGCACTTTTTGCACATATATTATTAAATATTACAGTATGTTAAATAGAGTTTACTAAAAGTATCTGATACATGTACAAGTTTACTGTTATATTTGGAACTTAAAACTGAAAAGTAGGGACCTCCCTGGGTGCACAAGGGGTTAAAGCACAGCACTATGAAGAGAGCCAAGGCGCTTCAACAAGAGTTCGATCCCTGGCCAGGGAGCGGACCCACATGGCCCAGCAGACCTCTCCTGTCTCGCCCATTGCTCCTGCGAGCAGTGTACTTCATCAATCTGCTTATACTGCTCCCCACTGTTTCTGGTGACTCCTCTCACTGCCCCTGCACCTATGGCCTATACCCCAGTTCTATATACATAACTGAATAATCTTTTTAAAAAATAGAAATTAGCCTAAATATCAATAGAAAACTGGCTAGATGAATTGAAGCCATTTAGACAATAGGCTGCTTCTAGTTTATTAGTGCCCTCTCCCATCCAGAATGCTACTGATGTTTCTGCTCAACTTGGGGTATCCAGAAGTAGTCAACTGAAGTCATACGGAGAAAGACATCCTAGTTATTAAAACTAAATTCACAAGGATAATTAACAAATGGAATATGGTAGAAAATAGTGAGTTTAATAAAACTCACAAATAAATTTTATGATATAAAAATCCGTAAAAGCAGCAATTGCTTATCAAAACAAGTTTGCTACAATAATACTGCTTTATAGCAATTAATGTAAGCTAGTAATTTTTTTCCCCAAAAATTTATTTATACAAGAACTGAGGTACCAGCCTCAGTTAGTATGGGGGCTAAGAGAATTCACCAGAAACAGAGTGGGGAACAGAACAGGCAGATCCACTGAAACACACTGCTGAGGGGAGCAGCAGATGGGTCAGGAGAGGTCTGCTGTGTCACGTGGGTCACCTCCCTGGCTGGGACTGAACTCACACTGCAGTGGCTGTGGACAGCTCCACAGTGCTGCACCCCAACCTGTAGCGCCACCAGTGAGGGCCCTAAACCAGTAATTTTTAAATTATGAAATGTCCAGAGCAATCTTTTCTTAAAAATTAAAGATATATTTTCTATTCTTTGCAATAAATCTAGTTACTTCCATTTTGCAATGTTTGAAATTAAAGCCTATGCTAATTATCTGTTTTCCAAAGGTTCTCCCCTCAATCATGTTAAAATGGGATTAGAAAACAAAGCTTCAAACCCCTCTTTCCTGTGACCGCTGGTACAACACACATGCCAGATATGCAGGGTCTACCCTTATTAGTACATTACACTGAACACTAAGGCGTTCATATAGTCCACTTCATATGAAAAGTTAAAAGTGAACTGAATTAAATATTCAAAACTCCTATACCACATTGGTAAAATGAAAAGCTATGCTTAAATCCACACTGCCTTGGAATAGTACAGACACTAAATTAGATGGGGGAAAAAAACTATTTAAGTTTAGATGGAAGAAAACACTGCTTAAAAATAAGACATTTCCATAGCCATGAATAAATGACTCACTCACAAAAATGTAAAAATTACTTGACTGCTACTACCATGTATATTTACAGTAGAAGCCACAACTCCTACCTCCTCTCTGTTGCAAAGTCAAGGGCAAGAAAAGCAAAGAGAAGGCAGGTTACAACGACAAAAATAATTCTTTCTGAGATGTGCCTGCCACTCAGGCTAGTTAGCAAGTTGGCAGGAACTCAGTAGAAGGCTCCTACATTTCTTACTCCATTTCTAAGCTTAAAAAAATATAAAATGTCCCTCAGATATTGTTCTGGTAAAAATTAAATAATTTACTCACCTCTCATCTAAGTTATTCCCCAAATACTGCATTTTACTTACTTAGCCATTTTACTATTAAGGAGTATCAGCATTTTCAGCTGAATAATGATTAACATTCTCAGGAACCCAAGTTCATTTCACTTTTAAAATGCCAGCCACCCACTACCTTATTTTCCCTGAATGGCAGTATGATTACACAATCTAATATTTAAAGGCTAATGCCAAATTGTCAAGAGATAACTGACATTCTTGGCAAAACGTGTCTATCGGGATTTTAGAAATGAATTTTACATAGTACTGGAATTTTCCAGAAAGGGAGCCAAGAGCTAAGTCTGCGCTACAGGGTTGACGTTAACAGGTCAGGGACGTAGGCTTTAGACAGTACGGTTTCCTAAGGTTACTGATAATGAGTTTATAACATAAAAGAGGTAGCTTCCTGAATGTATACACAAAGTAAGGAACTGGGCAACAGAAAGCACCTCTGAGCAACAGGTAGAAGCAGCTTGTGTGGCTTTTGCTCTAGATATTCAGATTAGTCTGTTCCCAACTCGCCTTGAGATTATCAAGACTATAAAAATTGGAAAAAACTGGCAAACTCCACTACCTAATTTTCTTGGCAAAAACATGGTATGCCTGCTAATCAATTAATGTGCAAATTATCATAAAAATAGTTATTTTAGGGGCTGTGTTTATAAAAGACTTTTCTCCTTTAGAGATATAAACTGAAATACTTACTGGTTAAAATACATAATGTCTAGGATTTGCTTCAGAGTAACCCAGTACGGGTAGTTAGAGGAAAGAAAAGTACTGGCTCAAAGTTCATAAATGCTGGATCTGAGTGATGGGTCCATGTGGGTTCATTAATTATATTCTTCTATTTTTTAAATGCTTGATTTTCCATAACAAAAGTTCTGGCAAATTAATAATAAGTGAACAACTTAGCTATATAGTTCTCTTAAAAGCTTATGAAATAGGGCCCTCCCTGGTGACACAATGGGTTGCAGCGCAGCACTGTGAAGCTCTCTACAGCCACTACAGCATGAATAGGATCCCCTGCCAGGGAGCTGACCCACGTGGCGTGGCAGACCACTCTCTCCTGTCTTGCCTGCTGCTCCCCTCAGTAGTTTATTTCAGTGGATCTGCCTGTTCTGTTCCCCACTCTGTCTCTGAATGAATCCTCTCATCTCTCCTGCCCCCACTGGCCTGTGCCCCAGTTCTTGTATGCATAAATGAATGAATCTTAAAAAAAAAAAAAAAGTTTCCAAGCAAGAAAAAATTAGAAGCAATCCAACACTGAAGGAACAAGTCACATACTGAAAGAGAAAAATACTCTGCCAATAAAATGTATCAACAGCTGGCACTGTGAAGAATGAAGCAAGTGGCTTCATAACGACATTTAAGAAAAATCCAATGAGATGAGTAAGGCATTTCCTATCCATGGCAAATAGTCAGGGCAAAATATTAAAGATGTGCCTTTGCCCAAAGTAGATGACGGTAACAAGAAAATGTATATAAACACACTGGAATACTACTCAGCAATCAAAAAGGACAACACATCATTTGAAGCAACTTGGAAAAAGCTAGAAGGGATTATGCTCAGTAAAACAGAAGGAAAAGGGGAACATCAAATGTATCAAATGTTTTTACTTATAAGAAGAATCATAGGGGAAACAAATAAGGGCCCAGAAAAAAAAATAACAAAAACCCAAAATTAATAAGGCAACTGTAAGTCTGAGATATTCTGCAGGG